TCTACAGAGACACCACAGAAGTGTAGTCAGTGATTATATTTAATGAACTTTACAATTTAGGTGGGGGGGAGGGTAAAAGGGGATAGATGAAGAGGTGGGAGGGAAGGGATGGTAGGGGAAAAACAAAGGAGGAGGCAACAATGCTGGATAAGAAATGTACTCATTACCTTGCTCATGTCACTATCACCCCTTGTACACTATTTTCACAATAAAAACTTAATAAAAAGAAATGAATACTTAAAAATTCAAGAAAAATTCCAATCTTTATAAATGAAAAAAAATAACTCTGTAGATGCTTATAAAAAGAGATGATGATGAGTAAAATTTAGACTGCATTTTTCTTTGGAAAATTTCTCATAGTATATGTGTGTTTGGGAATATGCACAGTAGAAAGATATTGCAAGTTTAATTCTGTTTGTTGTTACTATTATGCTCTATTAGTATGTACCCCATCAACATTTTCCAATCAAACTTTTCTTACAATTAGAATGCTTCATGGGTTGTTCTTATTTAAATGTGAACTCATGATTATTAAATGGATTTAACATAAGTAAATTATATAGAAAAGAATCTTGCATTTGTATAAAAAAAGGAAGAATGGGGACCACATTTACTCTCCTGACTGAAACACGCATGCACACACACACACACACACACACACACAAACACACACATTTACAAAGCCTCTGGTGACCACTGTTCTAGTCTCTTCTTCTGTGAAAGTAAAATTTCATATTATACATATGAATGGGATCATGAAAGAATTTCTTTTTGGGGGTTCATTTTTGTTACATCTTTTTTAACCAAATATGATTCCATTTCATCTGTACTATATGTTCTAATTCACAAGTCGTTGTGGCTTCCTTGAAAATAAACTTTGTTTAAGTTTGATGGGAGTGATCCTGAAATATAAGTAAAGCTCTCTTAGGAGATTCTGATGCAGAAACCATCAACCTAAACTAGAGAAAGAATACTTGGATTTATAGATTTATGCTATGACCACAGTTGTAAGTCTAGTATGCTCCATCCAAAAGTTCATAGGTTACTTATGCAGAGGAAGAGATTTAAAAGCAAACATAAGAGTCAGCATAATAGATATCTGACAAGAGGGTGGTGAAGTAATGGAGAATCCCTCTGGCTTTCTTCAATCCAACAGATTTAGGGACCTAACATGCACTTCCCCCCAAGAGATGGACAACAAGAAAAATATAAACAGATAATCGTAAGAATCAAGTATTTATACCTAACACACAAGGATGGAAAACTGCAAAATGCCCCAACCCCGTATCCGGTGCCCGCAAGTGGGGCAATGCCATTCTTTCTGATGGAGGCATAGAATTCCATTGTGTATATATACCACATTTTCTTGATCCATTCATCTACTGAGGGGCATCTGGGTTTGTTCCATGTCTTAGCTATGGTAAATAATGCTGCAATAAACATAGTTGTGCTGGTGGCTTTAGTATGGTCTTGTTTATGATCGTTTGGATAAATGCCCAAAAGTGGGATTGCTAGAATGGCATTGCCCCATTTGTTAGGAAATGGAAAGACTTGGAAAAAATTATATTAAGTGAAGTACGCCCGGCCCAAAGAAACATAGGTCCCATGCTTTCCCTTATTTGCAATAGCTAGTGTATGTGTGAGACAAGCAGAAATGGTCAGATAAGTTGATGTTAGGTGAAATGAACCCCAAGATAAGGAGTCAAATGGTTTTTCTTCCTTGCAATTGTTTCTAACATATTTATAAGATGATTTCTTTGTTGCTTTGTATGTCCCTCCCCCACAGTTTAACTCCTGCTTTCACTATATTTGATGTTGGTATAATTTGTGGAGGGGAAAGGAAAAAACAAATCGTTTAAATAGGGATACAGG